AGCAGGCTTGGGGATCGACCCAACCAGAGGAAGGAGGGAGCAGGGAGGAAGAGTCCGGTCTGGGCCTAAACCGGGCCCTGTAGCGGAGGCTACAGATCCCGGTCTTCCAGGACAGTCCGACTCAGGGGCCTGGTCGCCCACCCCATGAGCCTGGTTAAGAGTAGTCAAGTCGTCATCCATACAGCAAACCCAGAGGGATGGGTTTATATATACATATAAGGGATGGGACCCAGAACCAAGGGATACCACCTACCAGGGCAGCCAGGGAGGCCGAGCACGGGCCAGTGCAGGAAGGGTGTGTCGTCCCCAGCGGTGCTCCGCCTTTTCAACAGGGGAGTCCTACTACTTCGTTCATTTTCCCACACTGGTGCCAAGACCCCAGTACCCCTTTCGCCCTAGCCTGGACACCCAACCATCCACTCGGGGCGGCCTCTCACAGGCGACCCCTCCAGCGGGTGGTCCGATGGCTCACAAGGCCCCTACATGGTGCCCTTCAGCATGTACACCACCCAAATGGGGGGCAGGAGAGGGGGCACAGGCAACCCACACGTGTCCCTGGGAGGTGTACGCGAGCCCCTCACCACAGCAAGGAGGCACCACGGAGGGTTTTGACAATAAGGAGCAGGGCTGTGCTCCATTAAGTGAGCGAGTCAAGTGTGTATGACCAAAACTCAACCTCGCCAGAGCCGTTTCCCATCGCCGGTTACGGTGGTAGATCGACGGCCACGAGAACACATTGCTCTTAAGAGTACGCAGTATGTTACCAGAAATAGAAGACCAAGAATCCCGCCAATGGGTAAGGATGGAGGAATGATTAACTGGGCAAGTCTACCCAAGGAATACCTTTACGGGAGATGGGACAAGAGCGGACAGCTTCCCTAGCAGCAGCATCCGCATGCTCATTGAAAGACACCAATATGGCTGGGAACCCAGCAAAACTGATTGAAATTTACTGGAAATAAACATCAAATGCTAATTCTCAACGACCACTGGATTAGAGGACCCGAGTTCCATGTGGACACTACGCGTCAACGAACACTACAAAGGAAGATTGAGAACGAGAAAGCAGGAGACGAAGCGCAGAGAGAATAGCATAAAGTTCTGCTGTGACGATTCTAGTCTCCGGAGGTAGTGGACACACAAACGTGCTGTCAGGAAAACGGTAGCCTACACCGTCCGCAGACTTAGACCCCTCGGTGAAGTGGGAAACGGAGAAGGAATGTGGAAAGTGCTCAAGGAAAAGGCGTTTCAGAACCATAGGAGGGGTAAAAGCTTTAGTGATTCGAGTCAAGGGTGAACAAAACTTCGGAAGGGGGAGACTCCACAGGGGCTAGGAAGGAACACGAGAAATATTAGCAAGACGAACTGTAAAAAGAATCCTGTAAGCGAGATAACTGGAGAGAAAGAGGAAGGTGGGGAAGAGGAACAGGAACCACAGGAGGGGTAAAAGTTAAAGCATGGCCGAAGCGAGAGGAAGGATGTTGCAAGGACTGCGCAAGAGAATCCATACCCGAATAATTAA